TTGTCCTTGTATCATGAGAATGCCTATTACTCTCACAGAAAGTCCTGAAGGAAAAGTCTTTGGGCTTCAGACTGAACACTCTGCCCCTACGTGTGTGCTCATTTATTGAGGCTGCTGTATAGAGGGGTTCCCCAGATCAGAGAGGGGCCTCTGAGCCTTTTCCAGTAAGAATTTCCTAAGTTGAAGCCCAAAGACTTTGTGATTTATTAGTGGGAAAGAGCAACAAACACTGCACTTTAAAGAAATATGTGTCACACAAATATGACAATAAAGACATCTTTGGGATTAGTCATCGACAGAAAAGACCCTAGGCAAGAGAGGCAGTTTTTCAAGACTGTGACTGTGGGGATTGGCCCAGATTGCAGGGAGGTAATACCGGGTCCCAAGAAGCAAAACATACAAATGACACTAAAGCGATAGCTGTACTTAGGTAAAAAGAGTAACTATTTCCTATTTTCTCTACAGGATTTCTGAATGAAGCCACTGGATTCCAACTTAGGCCATATGGTGATAAGGAACAGAGAGGGCGTAAACCTACTTTGCCTCTTCTACTCTTACTGAGAAGCACAAGGAGATCAACTGCATATGTGTTGATCAACAGACACTCCTTGTTAAAATCTCCAGACTCAGGTGCATACTGCATGTCTGTACCCACATGTGGAATTCATATAGGAAGCAGGAAGAAGAACTGGAGGTTTAAATACAATAGATGCACAGTGGCCTCATGAAAACATAGTCACATGCTACAAACTTTACCCCGTAACTACACTTGCAAGCTTTACCTAGGCAGGTTTGTGTGTGCAAAACTGCAAATTATCTGCCACCCTAATTTGAATGCAAATTCATGTTAAACATGAAACACAGGCTTTGCAGGTACCAACAGCACACAAAATACAACCACAACTTTGCTTTCTGCTGCCAACTTTCAATGTGATCTTCAAAACGTGGTGGTAATAATAGTAGTAGTAACTATAATAACAGTAGCAATAATATTAAATATTAGCTTGCATATATATAATCCATCATGATTAAAGTCCCACTGTGTTGGGTGGTGTAAAAACAAAAATAAACAGTTACTCTAAGGTAGTGTTCTTAAAAACAACAGATAAAGGGTAATGGAAAGAAACTTAGCATAGAAGGAATCTGATGAAGATACGATACAGGTTGCACCTCTAAAATCCTGGATTCTCTGGTCTGGCAACATCCGTGGTCCGGCATGACCACAGATGTTTCAGGATCAGAGAGTCTCGGCACGCTGCAGGCAGTGGGGGCTCGGGAGCCGACGTGGTTTAGTTGGGCTGCGAGTAGGGAGCCAGGAGCCGGTGCATGGCTCAGCAGGGCTGCGGGGAGAGGGTGAGGCAGCAGTTGGCGTACAGCTCATCTGGGCTGCAGGGGAAAGAGGCAGGGAACTGGTGTGTGCCTTATCTGGGC